TTCCATGAGTTCTCAGTGAATATCGAGTGTCATCGAATTATCGAGTCCACGAGGATTTGCTATAAATTCTCCATGTACCTTGATGAAAAGATTTTACGATTGGGAATTTGGTTATGATTCGACTGCGATAACGAGTCGGGATTGGGAAACCAATAGGGCAGGATGGAAGAATCGGTTAAGCCAACTTGTTTGGCCACATGATGACGTCTTATTTGTGTTTGGGCCCTTTTTTTTTCTTTCACATTATTCATAGCCACGGCGCCTGAAGGTCAAGGACGTGTCAGTGAGTGGAGTCAGAGGAGGAGAGGATTCCCAATGACGTCTTTGAAGCGATTTGTTCTTTTTTCTCTTTTCCTCTCACTACCCGGTTCATAGCCACTAGCCACGAACCCCTGACATTCATTAATCCTGAATCAAGGAGGGGAGAAGCATGCATGTCCTGAAAGAAAGAATATACAAGACCCGCAGACAGGGTCGCCTTTCACGAACGGCCACGGAGGTGTGGAGGAGGGGAGCGGTCACTCAAAAGCAATACTCACAAAAAATGAATATTGATTGTCGTCGAATTATCGAGTGCAAGGGAATATGCATTACGTTATCCATGTATTTTCATGAAAACTTCTTCTGATTTGGATTAAGGTGTGAATCGTGGCCACTATTTGATTGCCATCGATTCATCGCGTGTGGGAAGAATTAGTTTTGCATTCTTTTATTGATGACATTAATGAAACGATTTCACGATTGGGAATTTATTTTGATATGAGTCGATAGCAACGAGTTGGGATTGGGAAATAAAAAACGGTATATTCGATGAATCAGCTACGACAACGTGTTTGGACTCGCTATCTCTGATGCTGGGAACGGGTAGTCTTTTCATTTCATTTCATTTCATTTCATTTCATTTCATTTCAATTTGTTTCAAGTTCACCGTATCAAACTCGACAGCCGTGATCGTACAACGGTCTCGTACATTGCGTTGTGTTTGCAAAAACTCCGGTTCGAATTCGGTTCACGGTACTTGAGTTTGCTTTTTCACCGAGTGAAGATTTCGTATTACTTGGATTTAAATCCACCTGTTAAAATTGTAGGAAGCAATGTATCGATTGGAAAATGAATAAGATGCATGAGACTAGACGGGGCACTTGTTCCCTGGCACCTGCAAATGCTATTAAATACTAGCTTTTCTCGTGTAGTATCAGGTTTTCTTACCATCCTTCCACTTTTCTCATGCAATCCATGAATACACATACGGAAAGCATGAACTTATATATATTTTAATAATATAGGACTCAGGGAATCACTCAATGCTGAAGCTAAGTTTCTTATTATTACAGCAGCTCACGGCAATAAGGAAGAGTAGAATCCCAGCTCCACGAGTATTATGACTTCTCTATCCTTAATGGGAAAGAGCTCCTCTAAACATCTACTCCTCCTCCCGAGGTCCTGGTAGTGGAATAAGAAGCAGTGGGTCATCTTGGTACTCCTGAGTGCTGGCAAGGATGAGTTCTTGTGTACTCGTGTACTCGTCCAAGTACCCTAGAATTCCAAAGGATGGAGTGGAATGGGAGAAATACATCGTATCAATTCCCTTCACAAGTACGAATCAGCTCGTTAAATACGCATGAATGTTAGGGGGAAATTAACATCAATTTTGCGTAAAGTTAACATAAATATGCTGCGTGGGATGTTTCATTATTCATAGCCACGGACCCCTCAAGGTCAAGGACGAGTCGGGGAGGGGAGCAGCCTGCACGTTCTGAAAGAAAATACAGGGTGTTTAAAAAAAGACGCTGCACTCATTTCCTATGGCGGATAGATAACACTCACTCCCATAGGAGAAAATATCAGACCAGGCTTTATTCTGCCTCCAGCCTACTTTCTTAAATGTAGAACATCTTGAGAATAATGCAGAGAAGGTTTAATCTCACAAGCAGATTAATGTAGGCAATGTGGGATTTGGCTCTAGGTGATTGATAAATTGCAATGAATGATTTTCTACCCCATTAGAATGATACAAAGTTTCCTCGAGATTCTGATGTGAGAGTACAAACATTGAAATCTTACCTCACATTGCTCTTCCCTTCGTATGCTGGACTGGACATGCATTTAACATTGCAAACCCATTACACATTCTGAACTTTTGGTGACATTGAACCTGTCTCTTCCGGATCCCTCCGGAGTATCTGCTCAGCCTACAGTTCTGGAAGCACAGAATTCTAGAGTACATAACTTTGATTACTTAACCAAGTTACTCAGCAGAAGAGTTCCAAGAAAAATACTCCGTATTTGATTTTGATTTTAAATTTTAAAAATTCAAATAAAAATTTAAAAGGTTCGACGTGAGTTTGGTTTAGCTTTCCAAAGACCGATCCTGCCCAGTATCTTAATTATCCTAATTCATCATTTTATCAAAAAGGCCTGGAAATTAAATGGTTACATTCTTATCTTTGGCATTTTTATGGAATATTCATTCGTATTAAATTCGAATCTCAGAAAAAGTCATATTTTATATTTCATGGATTTTAATTCTAATTAAAATATCCCTAAGAATAGAGTTGTCATTTCCTCATAGAAAAAGGATGGAGCGTCTTTTTTGAAACACCATATATATGCAGGACTCCCAGGCACGTTTGCCTTTCAAGGACGGCCCCGGACGTGAAAAGAGTGAAGCAGCCGATGAAATACGAATAGCACCAATCTCTACCTCAATAGAATTGATATGTGAAGAACTAGGGATAGTATTAAGAGAGGATGATGATGATTGCGATGCAAAGGTAAGCAATCCAAACATGATTCGATGAGAACGGTAAAACTGCACACGATATGAAGACATGCAGTCGGAACCGGAGCAATGGATAGGGAAAATTATTCTCGTTCAGCCCCCATCTTTCACAGAAAGATGGAGGCTGTCTCACCCCCAAAATGGGTGCCCCCAAGGTATGTGCCTCCAATGTCACATTTTTTTATACAAAATTTCAGATTTCGACATTATCTAGTACATGGTTAGAATCAGCTTTAGTCACTCACACAGTCCCTCAGTAACTCAGTCACGAAAGTCTATAGACTTTTCTTGGATGCACGCAATACGACACCTATGACATTTATTTACTCACGAATCACGACTCCGGGGATCATAGAGAGTGATTCGATTTCAGCAAAGAAACGGGAAATTTCGTGACTTTCCTTACCCTCGTGAAATTTCTTAAATTTAAGGAAGCAAAGTAGAGTCACAATCACGTTTTCCTAAATTATTTTCACACTTCCGAGTAAAAATGACCTGAGGAATGCCTCTCGATTGATGCAAGCCACATCCATTCTCTCGACAGTCGCCCCTCTGGGTACCCACGCGTCAAACATTCGAAGTGTAATGTTTTCTGTCCTTTGGAAATATTGATAGGTAATAGAGGTCACATCTCCCGCAAAGAAGAGAAACAGGAGGAGACAAAACGTTTTGCTCATCTACACAGGAATTAAAAGATTAGAATATGTCTTCCCCGAAAATCGTTCTTCCTTCAACTACTTCGTAATTATTGTTCCCGATTCCTTTTTTTAAAATTAAAACTCGTCGTGAATCACTCATTCCTCACCACTTTCCAGGACTTCGAATAATATACTGTATGCAAAATATCTCTCTTGGTTTCAGGAACCTCGAGTCAGTTTATTTTGCGCCAAGATTCTACGAGACTGTCAAAGATGTGTTTTCGAAGTTTCGGCGGGACTTAAGCTTCCAGCAAGAGCGAAAACAACGTAAAGTATGCAGGATGCTTGCAGAGGACTAAATTTCCTTTATGTTAGGGCAATAACGACGCCATCATGAGAATGCATGGGACGCTTACTATAGAGTAGTTTCAGCATACACAAGGCAATAGATACACAGTCAAGGCTTTTTCTATATTCTAATTACATATGAGGACTTGGCTTATTATAAATAAATAATAAATTCTCGTTTCCATCGCTTATTACTATTCGAATCCTCGTCCGAGGAATGAAGCAAAACCCATCCTCCCATGAATTGCAATACCGTACAGTATTTTAGCACTAGAAAAAAATGAGTGATCGTTTTCAAACGTAATATGGTGTACTGGCATTACAAATGAACGTTGAACCTATTCTATATTCTTTGGGCATTTTTTCATGCTGCCTAATAGTGCATTGAACGAAACATGATGCAGCTCATTAGACAGGCATGAGTCTTACGTTTCATTTTCATTATTACAGGTCTGTTTTCATATCGATTCTCAGACGTCATGCGTGAGCCATCGAAAATTGCATTAGTGCTGAATCTCCTGCTCATCACTGTCGTGCAGTTCTCAAATGGGCATGAGTCTCTTTCCCCCACCAGCAATTGGAGTCATGGGAGCCAGCTAGAAAATGCTTTGCCGACGAGTAGCGGCAACTATCCAGGAAATTCAATGCGACAATTTAACTACGAGATCGATTCGATTCAGTGGATCGAAAATATCGGCGGCAATCCTGTTGACCACGGCGGTGTCCGTGGTCGAACAAAGCGTTCCGCCATTTGCAAAGCGAATAGCATTCTTGGCGACGCTGGGACTGTGTCTGGCATTGGTGAGTGGCTGCATCATGGTGAATGATTTCACACATTGTTGTTATTTGATGTTCATCAATCCTTTCATGCCGAATAGTTCCGTTTGGAATCTTCAACTTTCCGAATTTTTTAAGTCCGTCGTGTGCATGCCTGCGAAATATGCTTAGGATTGACTTATCAGACCCGATCCCGCAAGAAAGATTAAGATAACAACCTTATTTTATCTGTGCGAGTTCAGTAAACTTCTCGTAAGAGCCCCTTTTTTATCCTTTGCATGAGTTTCAGGTAGAGTCCTATTTCTACAAATTTAGGCATGAAAGGGTTAATGATTATGATGCCGGAAAATTTTCCAGCTTGGAAAATACCTACGTGAATTTTCATATTTCCCTATGATTGCGAACATGTACGATATTTCATAATAGTATCTATCTTTCATGAGACCTGTGTCCAAATGGAAATTTTAATTATTGAGATTCATTGCCTTGCAGGTTCGGCAATAGGGGCAGTGTTTAGTCCAAATGGAAATGGATCTGCTGTTGGAAGCCTGGTAGGACTAGTTGGCGGGGTCATATTTGGAATAGTAAAATCCAGCCTGAACGAGGATGGCTGCAATGACTCAAATGATCTTCCAGAGGCATTAAGTGTCGTCCAGACCAAATTGGAAGACATTAGTGAGAAAATTGAAGACGTGAGTAATAATGTTCAAATCGGCAGAAAGGAGAATAACATCAACTATAGGATCACCCAAGATCTCGTTCAAGTCTCAAGGGAAGAAAATGAGATAAACTTCCAAATCAACAGGGGCTTGATCAACCAGGACAGAATTGAGAATAACATCAACTTCGGCATCAACCGCGCTTTGATGGAGCAAGGAAGGCAAGAAAATTATGCGAAGTTTGCCAGAACTCGGGGTCTTGTCAAACAAGGAAGAGTTGAGAACCAAATTAACTTTCAAAAGGCCCAAGGGTTGATGAATCAGGGGAGACTGGAAAATTTTATCAACTTCAATGAGACTCAGGGCTTGATTAACGAGGGAAGGCATGAAAACCTGATCAATTTTGCGCTGACACAAGGACTCGTCGATCAAGGGAGAGAAGAAAACCAAGATAATTTTGCCATTACAAGAAATCTCATAAATCGTGGGAGGGTAGAGAGCAAAATCGATTTCAAGGTAACTCGAGAACTAATCAATCACGGAAGGAGAGAGAACCTGATCAACTTTGCCATCACACAAGACCTCATCACCCAGGGTCAATGGGAAAACTTGATGAATTTCAAAGTCATTGAGGGATCTGTTGCCCAACTAAGGGATGATACCCTTAAAGGTTTCTCCTTCCTGTCAAAACAGGCTGATAAAAATATTGAAGCCATCACAATAGCTCGACTAGAAGTGAGGCAGAGGTTTAATATTGCCTATAAACTCCTGGACAGAAACTTTGATGCGACAAATGCTGGTCGTGTAGAAAATTTGAGGAACTTCGAAGTCACGAACAACTTGCTTAACCAAATCGGAGACGCTGTGACTCGTAATCAAGCACAGGCAATGGCTGAGCGTTTGCTTTTCTATACATCAACAGTCAACCTCATCAGAGAATCCACCAATGAAACAATCAGTGCAATCGATGACGCCAAGCAAAACATTTTGAGAGCCATTGATAAAAGCAAGGTGGAACCAATACTATCCAAGTTAACTACATTTTTAGCATATTTCAATAGTGAGTTGGAGGGGATTAAATCATCCAACACGAAGCAAATTTTGGCAAAGCTTCAAGAACCAAATGGATTCCTCTTTTATCTGGCAGAGTCCAGGACACCACGGGGCGTCAACAGTCTTCACTCCCTTCTCTCAGACATCATTAATCAAGGTCTAGCGATTCCTAAGAGCTCTGATGACGAATTGGCTTTGATTACACTTGATGCTCTCTTCACTGGCACTCAAACTTATGTCTCAGTCCTCGCATTTCTCATGGAAGCCTACTCGTTCCTTGCTGATCATTACTACAAAGAGATGAATGTGGAACAATTTCATGCTCATATAACGTTGATCAATGTCAGATACAATGATTTCAAGAGGTCACTGAATAATGGCATAATTGGTCAAGTTGCAGACATTCTTCTTCAAGTCCAAAGAACCGGAATCATATATGGGGAGATGTTATTTTCAACACGACGCAAGAACCTGGAAGCATTGAGGAACAGCATTATGCGCTTTGACCTGGCTTTGAAGACTCTTCAAACAGAACCAGCAAAGCTTCAGAGAAAGCCTGAGTTTCCATCTTTAAAAGATAAAGCTGTATTTTATGGACCCTGGAAACCAGGAAGAACCGTGAGCTATGCAATCCAATATAAATACAATAACGTGCTATCCAAAATCGGAGAATTCACAAAAGCATTTACTCTTGTGGAAGGCATGGCGAATCCTAAAATACAAATTCCGTCAGCTCCATATGGAGTAACAAGTCGTTTGGTTTTCCGAAAGTTTGACAACGAAAAGCCAGAATATGTGGGAACAGTTGGGGGCACCAAGCAAACATCTTTCCAAGACATTGACAAAGACTTATTCAATGCAGCTGGGAGTCTCAATGAGGCTCTGGGTAAGGTTGAAGTAAGGTACTTTTTGGATTCAGGAGCAAATATTTCAGCCAAATATGATGATGAGATGACAGCTCTGCACAAAGCTTCTGCAGCTGGAAATAGCCTTGTCGTGGAAGTAATTGTTGAAGCTGGCGCCGACCTAAGTGCTCCAGACCTTCATGGTCGCAAACCAATTCATCATGCTGCAGAAACTGGATATGTCGAAACTATGAAAAAGCTATTTCTATTGGGTGCTGATGTGAACTCCAAGACCAGAGATGACCTCACTCCATTGCACATAGCAGCTCTTTATGGCAATAGAGATGTTTTACAATACCTCTTCACTTTAAAGGATATTGATGCAAATGCTGTCACAAAGGACAATTTTACTGCCTTTCACTTGAGTGTTTTGGCTGGACATTTTTCTGCGACCAGCATCTTGGCTGATAACGATGGTGTGAATGTCAATGCACCAGATGAAAATTCTTTCACTCCACTCCATCATGCAGTTGCTACTGAGAATGAAGAAATGTTGAAATTATTGCTTCAAAACCGAAGAATAAACGTCAATGCAAAAGCTTCAGATGATTTAACTGCGCTCCATTTGGCTGTCGCATCAGGCAATAAAGAGATTGTGGACATACTTTTGACTCAAAGTAACGCCAACATTATGTCCAAGAGTATTGGTGGATTTACAGCATTGCACATGGCTGCAGCAAATGGACATTCTCAAGTTTTACAGTCACTCCTGAACAGATTGTCAACGGACTCAGAAAGTATCAATTCCTTATCTGCTGAAAAATGGACTCCACTTCACTTGGCGATATCCTTCAAGCATGTTCAAACCGTTACTCGACTTCTCCTACACTCTAACATAGACATCGAGGTCAAGGCAGAGGGCGGTTTGACTCCTTTGCATTTAGCTGCTGGTACGGACCAGGCAAAAGTTGCCTCGAAACTGATGTTGTTGGATGTCAATTTGGAAGAGCAATCGGATCTTGGCTTGAGAGCATTACATTATGCTGCCTGGTATGGTAGCAAGAATGCTGCATCCATTTTACTCAAAGAAGCTGATGTCAACGCCAAGACACGATTTGGTCTCACACCACTCCACTTAGCTGTCATTGGGAATCATCTCAACATTGTTGAACAACTGACAACAAGTGCAAATCTGAGCATTCACAGCGCTACCGAAAGTGGGGCCACTGCTCTGCATCTTGCTGCTGTTAGTGGGAACAATGCCATCGTTATGCACCTTTTGCAACATGGAGCTAAAGTGAACGCGAAGGACAAATTTGGAATGACTGCATTTGATATGGCAATTGACAATAAACAAAATTCGACATCCAATCTGCTGAAGTTACATGGAGGAAAATCCTCAATGTGCTTACAAATTGGTAACAGCAACGAGAAAAATGAGGAAGGTTTTACATTGCTTCAAGTTGCTGCACAAAAAGGCGACCTTGTCAGAGTGCTTGAGCTGGTATCGTGTGGTGTTGAAGTAGGTGCATTCAGTAATAATGGCAGCAATGCATTGCATGAAGCTGTATCTTTTGAAAGAAAAGATGTTATTGCTGCTCTTATTGATTCTGGAATCGATATGAATGCAAAAAGAACTGACGGTTGGGCAGCCATTCATATAAGTTGTTTAGCGAGTGATCCAGTGCCAATACTGAGAATATTATTGCAGAAGGGAGTTGATGTCAATTCAGTCACAAATGATGGCAAGACTGCTTTGGATATCGCGGTTAAGGAAGGAAAAACTAGTGTTGAAGCCTTTCTTCGGTCCCAGGGAGGAAAAAGTGGCATTTGTCTCCGTCCCGAGACAGTGGATCTGCGTGATAGCGATGGTCTGACAAAGCTCCATAAAGCAGCTCGCGATGGAAGTATAACGGATGTGAAAAACTTGATTAGTTGTGGTGCTAATGTTCATGTCCTTAGCCACATGGGCACTACGGCTCTTCATGAAGCTGCTTATAATGGAAGAGATGAGGTAATTGCTGAGCTGCTGAATGCAGGGGCAAAAATCAACCAGCAGAAGGAGACAGTAAACGGCTGGGCTGCAATTCACATGGCATCACTCAGAGGGCATCGGAGTACAGTGAGCCTTTTGCTGGAAAGAGGAGCTGACATTAATCTGTCAACCTTGGGCAAGCGAACAGCCACTGATATTGCTGAAAATAATGGACAGGAGGAAATAACCAGTTTTCTGAAGCAACGTGGTGGTCAGGCCTTTGATTGTATTGGACTGAAAAATATCAATAAGAAGGATTCAAAAGGGTGGACTCCCCTTCAATATGCAGTCCACGAAGGGAATCGCGAAAAAATCAAGACTCTTCTGAAGTGTGGTGCTACACAAGACATCTTGGAGCTCCTGCCTCCAGGACTTGATCCCAAAGTGGAAAAGAAAGATGTGGCAATTACACTCAACGTGGCTGCCGCTAACGGTAATATGCCAGATGTTAAGGCACTCCTCGAGAAAGGGGCTGATGTAAACTTCAAATCTGCTGACGGTAAGACCCCTTTGGACCTTGCTCTAGATAATGGGCACTATGATGTTGCAGATGTCCTGATAACATATGGTGGAATTCAGAGTTGATCATTTAAGTAAAAAAATATATTCTTTACATTTCAGTTTGAGACACTTTGCCTCTTTCATTGCGCGCCGAATTATGTAAATTATTATTTGGTTTAATCTTACTTCATTATTATTGCCATGTCATGTGGCAATATTCAAATACATTATTTCCAAAACTATTTTGGAGGTCGGAAAACTTTGAAGGCCTTAATTGTTGCTTACTCTTTTCTCAATGGAAGAGATAAAGTAATTGTTGAGCTGCCGAAGGCAGGGGCAAATATCAACCAGCAGAAGGAGATAGTAAATGGCTGGGCTGCAATTCATTTTGCATGACTCAGAGGGCACCGGAGTACAGTGAGCCTTTTGCTGGAAAGAGGAGCGAACATTAATCTGGTAACCATGGATAAGCAAACAACCGTTGATGTTGCCGTAACTAATGGACAGGAGGAAATTACTAGTTTGCTGAAGGAACATGACGGTCAGGCCTTTGATTGTATTGGATTGAAAAATATTAACAAGGAGGATTCCAAAGGGTGGACTCCTCTTCAATATGCAGTTCACCAGGGGAATGGTGAAAAAATTAAGACGCTTCTGAAGTGTGGTGCAAAAGAAATCCCCTCTGAGCTCCCATCTGTTGGAGCTGCTCCCGACGTGGAAAGGACAGATGGGGCAACTGCACTCATAGCAGCTGTCACTGAAGGTAAATTGTCAGTTGTTAAGTCACTCCTTGAGAAAGGGGCTGATGTAAACATCAAATCTGCTGACGGCAAGACCCCTTTGGTCATTGCTCTGGCTAATAGGCACTATGATGTTGAAGATGCCCTGATAGAATATGGTGGGATTTAGAGCTGACCATGAAAATAAGAAATATTCTTTCTATTTCAATTAGTGCTACTTTGCTTCTTTCATTGCGCTTTTAATTATGTAAATTATTCGTTGGCTTCATCTTATCATTCACAGTATTTATTTTCACGTCACATGGGCCACATTCGAAATTAAATGATTAAATTGAAAGAAAAATACAAATTAAAGTTGAATGAAGCCTTGTTGAAAGTGAGTTTAGAGTATTGGTGGAAAAAATTCCCAGAGTGGAGTTTTATTTATTATTGAGGTTGAAAAACAATTAAAGTGGCTTGTCAATAAAGCAAGGATATAAACTTGTGGGGAAATGCGAGAGGGGATTTTTTAAAGATCAAATGTGATGCAGTGACCTAAACAGAATACTACTAAAATGAAAAATAAAATCGAAACAACTTCATTCATAACGTAATGAAGTAATGTGAAAACAATTTTCAATGGCTCTCAACTTTTTCTACCTAACCCCCCCTCCCCCGCCTCTCTACGGGACTCTATAACGTTAGGCCTTGGCCAAACCAAGAGATTGTCACTCTAAGTCACGCTAAGGCCTACCTTTATCTTTTCGGAGGAAACTCAATTCTCGACTTAGGGTGCCAATCTATGACTATTATATTTCAGAATGTTTATGTGTCTGTCCTTTATGCACGGCCACGCCTCTGATCCCAGTGCGACCAAACTATGCATGACTTCCTCATTTGATCTGGGGATGGTCATAGACAAGGTATCTTTTCAAAATTCGGACCCGGCAGGGCAGGGTCGGACCTGCCCAAGACCAAGGCTCCCCTCCCTTCCCCAACCCCTCGCTCAGACGGTCGCCTGGGTCTCCTGCCCTTAAATCCGACCCTGCCTAGGGATACCTTATTTATTGCAGACAAATATGGGACGTATACAATATTCACCCGTGGAACGCCGGGTATCTCTGCTCGTTAGGCCTATAAGAGTGAATCGTCGTCTGCGAGATATTTGGTTGAAGATGTGTAACGTTAGGCCAATCGCAGGCCAATTCAGGCGTTCATAAACCATTTCAGTGTGAACGTGTAACGTTAGACCGATTAGAGGCCTGTTTCGCGTTTCATGAACAATTTTAGGGAGACGTGGAACGCTAGGTCTATCTGGAGTTCCCCGAAACGTCCCGAATAGGTCTGAGGATAGAATGCCCTCAAGAAAAAATGGAAACCATGGTACGCGCCATCCTGTTAATTCAGGGATGTCCGGATGAAATATCTGCATATCCCACCACATCAATTAATAACTGATAACCACAGCTTCATTCTCAACTCATCTCATGAACTCAGGACAAAAATGTCTCATGCATTAAAAAAAACAGTTGATCCAGACGCAAATACGAAGGTTGAAACAGTCTTAAATCTGGCATAATTTCGGCACGGTATCCAGCAACACTGGGGGACGGAACCGAAGTTCGCTAAGCCTAATTGACTGGCAGCTCATTTCAGTTTTCATGGCGAAATGACGCATCACAAGCAGCCAAAATGTTGAGGTAGAAGAGAGAAATATGAAGTTACCATTCCTATTCGCCAATTTAAAGTTTCATAAAACCCTGGTTAAATTTCGATTCATAGCAAGTTCAGCGAGCACTTGCTTTAAAGGGTCTTCGCTTCTTTTAAATGGCATTCTCAATAGACTTTGCGAGCAGATAAAATCAAGATGCAAAACATTCCACTGTTGTTGGAGCGTGAAAAGTAACAGCAAAATATTACATGCAATTAAGACCCTAAATGAATCCAAGAGTGCTTCTTCCATTATGTCTTGGGACTTCTCCACATTATATCCAAAAATACCATTGGATATTTTGTTTGACAACATTCTTGAACTATTTGAAAACTATGCCGGAACAGGATTTACCTTTAAATACACTTTCACGAGTAAATCATATTTTTCTGCCCTCCTGAAAGGCTGTTTAGAAAACAACTACATCCAATTAGGTACTAGAGTTTTTAGACAGCAAATTGGAATTCCGATGGGCAGCAATTATTCAACTAATATGGCAAATCTCTTCCTTTTTTATCATGAATAAAAACATATGAATGAAACCCCCAATCCAGAAGCATACACTTTCACTTTCCGTTATATCGGCGATATAGTGGCTATTAACAACGCTTCAATTCAGGCAGAAATCGAGCACATTTATCTAGATTGCCTGGAATTAGAGGAAGCGGTTTCACCTCCAAGCAAGAATGCTCATTATTTAGATATGAATGAAATCGATGACATCTGTAATTGCTTTGCCCCTGATATTTATGATAAAAGAAGGGATTTTGAATTTGAATTTCTTAGCCTACCAAATGCTAAAAGTAACATCCCTGAGCATATAATCAAGAATGTTGTTAATTCTCAGCTGAAAAGATTCGCTCTAATCTGTTCCAATGTGGCTGGATTTCGTTATAACTGTGATCTCTTGTACCAAACGCTACTTGGCAATCGGTATCAAGAGAATTTTCTGCAGACACTTTTAAACCTGTTTGCTCAGCAATGCAAGTATGACCTAATTAAATTTGCTCCCGAAGAGGGCGATTTTTCTGCAATATACCTGTGAACATCAGGCTCCAGAAACTCTGAACATCCCTCTCAACCTGAGCATCATCATAGTGTCTCGTACCTTGGGGCTTTCTAGTGTTCTTGGCTTGCCTCAGCCCCTTGGGACCAGCCTGATTCAGTTTAACTGCTTTACTGAGTGTGAAGCAGTTCTCCCCATGTCTAACATTAGCACTGTCTCCCTGACTTGGTCTGTTATGACTCTGTTGTGACAGATAAGATGCTCTTGAGTTTAAACGGCTATTACTAGCTCGTCCTGGGGAGCGCAATGGAACTTCTGAAGAACCACACTGCACAGCGCAAAACCTGGCTGTATCCTGCCCGAGAACACCGGTGACACACAACAATCATACGTGCACGACATTGTGAATCAGCATGGTTTGAACGTCTACATCGCCTACAAAATTGTTGTGAGTCTGCAAAATTCAGAGGCTGCGCCAAGGAAGGTTTTATTAATGGATTAGACCTATCAAACTCTCCCGGCCCTCTGTCCATCCCCTCTTTCCAGCTGAGCTAACCTAGCCTCAACCTTCTGGAAAGAAGTGGTCATCTGAGACAAACCCTTTGTCAAATTAGACAGAACATCTGGTGCAGTCCCTGCAGTCACTGCAAACTGCATGACATAGGGGTACAGACTGTGAACACAACGATGCTTCTACCTTATCAGCACATTTCAATGTTTCCACTAAGGTTGTTGGCATTTCGCGTAGGACACCTCGTATAGGTGGTAAAAGGCCTATAACAAACTTGTCCCAGAATACAAGATCATCATTGAGTGGGTCACTTCCATCCTTTACTTTAACGTCCCGTCCAGTGGCTCCATATGCTTATCTTAGGGTATGATAATATTCCCTTACTAATTCATCCCTGTTTTGGACACAACTCTTATATCGAGACAGCTTAGCCTGATCAGATAACTGCCCTGCTGTGCTTCGACTAACTTCTCTGTCAATTCATCAAGCGATTCAGAATCAGGAGAGTGAAGAACAATTCGATGAAAAACAGATCCAAGATCAAATGAAGTTGAGAAGAGATTTAATTTGTTTCTCTTCCAGTCCATTTAGACCACTAATTTTCCTAACCACCTGCAGATACTCTCTCATATCCTGACTTCTCTTAAAAACTGGAATCTCTATACGAAATTTAGATGCCATATATAAACCACTTATCCTCAGGAAGTGAGCTTCAAAACAAAGAATATCAACTGAACTTATCCTACCGACTGCGCCTGTTGTGACGTCTACCTAGCCAACCCATGCGGGTGGCCCATCGAAATCTCACTTATGCTGAGGCGTGGTTCGATAACAGATCAGTCCCTCTCTATGCCTTACAATATCTATTTAAAAATTTCAAGAGGATTTTGCAGAGACAATAAAGCTCAGGCCTATAAAAGATAATTGAAATTGTAAAAAGGCCACTCAATGGGGGGGCCAACACAATCCCGCAAAACCAGGCCAGCACAAACAAGGCTAATAGAATACAAAAACAGTAAAAAAAAGAAAATAAAATACAGACGAGGGAGGGGCGAAGCAGCAGCGTGCAGCGGGATGAAAGATCACAGTCTGATCACAGTGAGGGGAGCGTTGAACGGCGTTCCAACAAGAACAGTC